CACAACCCCTTGTGCTGCATTAACACTGCACTATACGGTAGAATTCAGTATAGTTGCAGCTCTAGGATAGAAGCTATTCTTCAGCCTATTGGTCCTTCTATTCTGTTCTGTTCTGTTCTGTTCTGTTCTGTTCTGTTCGATATTGTTTTATTGGTTATCAACCGCCCAGGGTTGTTTTTAAGATGGGCGGCTTTATAAATGTTTTCAATAAAGAAAGAAAAGTAATGCTCCACCCCAAACATATTTTTGCACTTTGAGAAAGCTTGAGCCGCAAGTGACCCCCTGTATACAGTTACAAAAGGCATCTGGTGGAAGGCGCTGGACTTGGGTGGCAATGACGTCGGAGGGGAAGAGGGGAGATGTTACACAAAGCCTCTCTGTTGAGAAATGAACCAATGTACCTTGACACACAGCCTGCTGGACAATCCTCTTGTTCTTGTCGGTCATGGGGCGCCACTGGAGGCCATGATCGCAAACCCGGAATCGTGTCGGATACGGATATTGCCCCTGAGGACAGTCATATATCAATATGGTTCCATCTTCCAGTAGAGAATACGTGCCCCCTACAATCTCAGCAGCTTTGGGATCACAGGCACCATCCACCATATCTAGAAAGAAAGGGGTCGGGTTCAGCCCAAGAACCGCGACGAGGCAATCCAGTGCAGTTCAGTTCCTTTATTAGCTCGCACCTAATAGACAGAATCTCGCCAGACTCAACCTATGCCAAAGCAACTAGTGGGTACATCCCGTGAGCCTCTAGGGAGGGGCCAGCCTCATCCTCTTCGTCTTCCCACACTCTTGCTGCGGGCTGAGAAGGCGCTTGCCCTGGAATGCCTCTCCCCCCTCCTGACAACCTTGAACCTCCATCCCAGAATCTTCCCCGCTCACGCCATCCATTACAAAAGCACAGTAGAAAGTCGAAAGGGTAGGTCAGTGGTGAGGATGTTCGACTGGTCCTGGGGACATCCAGATTCAGGTCCACCCGTGATCTGGGAGCTTCCTGGGATATTTACATTTTTGTTTTAATTATCAGGCATGAAGATGCATTACAGACACTGGAGGTAATGGGGACAACATCTCTGAATTCCGGTCCTGGAGGGATACCCACAATCTTGCTTTTTCATTTATTTTTATCATGTTCATTGTTTGAAGTGTTTTGATGGTTGTGATATCCTTTGAATTGCTGTTGTACACTACCCAGAGCCATGTTCAACAAAATGGGTGGCCATATAAGTGTGCTAAGCAAATAAATAAATAAATAATAAAATACCCAAGCAAAGAATGGTTAAGCATCTGAAAAGATTGGGAGAAATCATGCTCTTCATGAATGGAACTATATACTAAAGCTGGAATCTGATTGCTTAATCAGGAACTATGGTTGTACAGGTAGTCCTCGACCTACGACCATTAGTTTAGCAACTGTTCTAAGTTATGACGGCATTGTACAAATGGTGATTATGACTGATACTTGCAGTTCTGGCCACCCCAACACTCCTCCGGTCAAGTGATCATGATCTGGGCACTTGGCAACCAGTTTGCACTTACAACCAGTTGCAGCGCCCTGGGATCATGTGGTCGCTGTTTGCAGTCTTCCCTCCCAGCTTCCCTAGAAAGTCAGTGGGGAAGCTGGCAGAGAAGGTTGCAAATTGCTGGGGTGAGTCTCCCCCCCTGCGCACCCTCCCCCAGCCCTGCTGAGCTCACACACATCCCCACACATACCCTCACACCCCATGCACTCTCTCCAACCCATGCTGCACCCTCACACACCCTCCCTGACCTGCACTACACTTCTTGCATGCCCCCTCACACCCTTGTGCACCCTCCCTAACCTGTGCCTCACCTCTCACATCCTCTCACACCCTCATGCACCCTACTTGACCCATGCCTTTCATGCACCCTCACCAGTCTTCCCCACACCCCTGCACACCTCCTCGCTCCCTCCCCCATCCAGCAGCAGCCACGTACCTGTCTGCCAGCCTGGGACTTGCAATTTCCTGCTGGCTTCCCCATTGACTTTGGTAGTGGGAAGTTGGCAGGAAGTCGCCTCATCTAACGACTGTGGGATTCAGTTAAAGACAAAGGCAACTGGGACCGCAGGGCCAGAAAGGCCAGAAAGTGCAACCACATTGCTTAGCGACAGAAATTCCAATCCCAATCACCATCATAAGTCGAGGAATACCTGTTTTGAGCATAGGGGGTGGCTAAAAGAATCATACTGAAAAGTTGGAAATGTAATTATTTCAGACGTCAAAGACCGATTCTTGGAATTGTGCGATGTCTTTGTTTTGGAAAAGGCAAGATTTTCTACTGATCAAAGGATGCAGCAATGTGTGTTACTATGGCAGAGATGTTGTGATATTTCACAATAATATTTAGTACTGTTTGTATTATAGTAGTGAATTCATTAGTAAACCAGTCACTATTGATAAGTATAAAATATAAGGTGGGCTGTTTTTTTCCCCTCTTCCTTTTCTTTCATTTTTAGTTTGTTTGGGGTTGTCTTTTTTCTATTTTTTTTAAGATTAAAGCATGTTTTGTTAACTGGGTACTCATAAAATAAATAAAAAGAGGAGGAAAAAAGAGATTGTATGTAGCAAATCATATTTGATTACATGGCAAATGTTCAGAATTAAGCCGTCCAGTCCAAGCTGGCAGGTCCTTCTCCTTTTTCTACTGACTTGACTCACACTTCCCGGCCAGGGCAGATATCGCAATGTCAACACAGTTTTCAGATGGGGAAATTCCCCAGCCAAAGAGCCCATCAGTCAGGAGGGTCAGGGACCTTCACATTCAGTAAACTTTGTGTAATCTTTAGTCTAGATTCTTGTAACAAAATACTCTTCTATCAATTCAAAAATAGACCTCTGCAGGGAGATGACTAACGGGACGTCAAGGGGCTGGGGACTCTGATTGCCTGTCCACCAGCAAGATAACTCTGAAAACAGACCTGAATGAGACCAAAATAGGGGTGAGGGAGAAGCCAGCAAAAGTGAGCAGAGTGAGTTTGAAAACGAGCTAGATCTGCAAAAAAATAAAATAAAATCCAGGAACCATTTTCCTCAAGGCATCTCTATGGGAGAGGCTGCTGGGCAGTGGGTCAGAATATTGGCAGTACCATCATGCTTAAGCCCACCTCCTTCCTGGCCATGTGACCCACAGTGGCATATCTGCAGGATGCCCTGGGCTACCGTAGAGTCAAGAAGATGACCTTGATGGAGGTCCGGTAGACCAGACAGGAAACGCAACCAGATAAGCTAATTCTATTTTATTGTAAAGCTACATGAACAGAATCTTGCAAGTCTCAAAGTACAAATCGCCCACCGTCTCCTTTACAGCCCGAGAAACTAGGGAGGGTCCCTTCTGAGCCTCTTTCCCCACCCGCTATGCAGCTATGGGCTACGCCCTCTCTTATCTGACCATTCACTAGGCAGCATCTCTTCGCCCCGTCTCCCAAGGTCTTTCCCACATATCGTTACAATGGAAATGCACAAGAATCCTTACCTAGGCAAAAGGGGCTGAAACCCTTTTTAAGTCCAGAGTAAGAAGTTAACATTCAGAAGTGATGCAGGCAGACACCTG